TTAGGTTACGATTAGACCCCCCCCTGGTAAAAATCCTGTACACGCCCCTGCTACGTAGATTCTTTTTTCACAGTCGAGGTATACTTTAAGTGGATCCAGTGTATGGGAGTATCAAGAATATGTCACTATATTAAAAATACGTAAAGATACTTCCAACTCATGGAAAATCACTTCTTCCTAAAGGTTTTACCTCTGTGGCAACCTCCACATTCATGGAGTCCATTTCAATAATGACCTTGCACGATAGATACTTGCCGTTTTGCAATATTTTGTGGTTTTCACTAAATTTCTAGCAACATATTAGAATGGTTGCCTATTTTCACTACCTAAATTAAAACAGGATATTAATGGAAAAGCAACTTTAAATTGAAAGTAAATGCGATCTTTAGATTTACCGGTCAGATGTGCTTAGTTAGATTGACTATCAGAAATTTAGACGCCAATATTTGTATATTTGTTCTCCCCCGCAGCTTAATGTACGCTTCCACTCAGTATATGAAACCCCTTATATTCTCTACATGTAATGTCTTTTCGCGCACCCTTGTGGACTGTCATTATATGTTCATTAATATTAATAGTTAATTAAAATTGCTGTACATTATGCGACGAGATGAGCTGGCCACTATAATTTCAATAATCAATTACCTCAAAGACCATCGGTGACTCCCCATGAGTGACTATGACCAGCTAAGGCGCCTGAAATCATTTATGATTTGATTTGGCGCTTATTGGCAATTTCCTCTGTAATCAGCAACACGTCGTACACACACACACGCACGCACGCACGCACGCACGCACGCACTCACGCACGCACGCACACGCACGCACGCACGCACGCACGTACGCACGCACGCACACACACACTCACACACTAACACAAACACACACACACACACACACAAATATTCAAACACACAAACGCACGCACGCACACATGCGCGCATGCGCGCACTTATAACATGTCGTAATTTCTGGTCACATTTAACTGAACTGCATACTGAATATTCCGTATTTGTTTTACGTCAGATAACAAAGCTGAAAATTGATAACAATCCATTTGCGAAGGGCTTCAGGGAATCCGCCAGACTGTATCATAACGTTGATAGGTATGCATTACTGTCTCTACTACTACTTTCCACGCCGACATGCAAACGAGGCCCCGCACCTAAACACACACATATGCACCCAAACAAGCACACTCACATGCGCACCCCGTTCCCCACACAGCCTCACGCTCGCACGCATACACGCGCGCGCGCGCTCACACACATACGCACACTCATATATATATATATATATATATATATATATATATATATATATATATATATATATATATATATATATATATATATATATATATATATATTATGTATATATACATATATAATGACCCCGAACGACCGTAATAAAGGGTCACAATTGTACAATGTGTTGTACAATACATTGGGTTTATATTTTTATATGCATATATATATATGTATCTGTGGGTGAGCGTGCCAGACAGCCAGTTATTTAGTTAGTTAGTTAGTTAGTTATAGTTGTATTTACTTTAGTTTGTTACGCGTATACTTATACGCTATTACTGTAATTGTTAAATTGTTAAACTTTCTGCTATAGACCTGCACTGTTCTTGCCGCTGAGGCCGCTGCCGCTGCACCGCCGCTCTGGTTGTGGTGACTACAGCCATGCGTGGGCAGCAGTCTCTAACCTGGTGCCGGATCTTCAGTGGCGACACAATTACGCGTTTCCTGTGGTCTACCCTCCTGTCGTCGAAACGGACGGCGAAGCAGACGAGTACTGATCACCGGAGTCGGTATCCATGACGACGAAATATACGGCGCGAAGTGGAAGAACCGATTCGCGGGGTTTGCGACTCGTCATGAACCAATAATACTGTAGTTTACGTGCTATATATTATGACTATTTATCGAAGTACCTAGTAAATTATTCACGTTTGTTGGCGCCGTCCAGGTGATGAGGTTGGCACCGATTGTTACCGGAATAGTGCAGACTTTTTTATGTCGATTTTTTTAACGTAGATTTTTTTATCTCACACATTACTTCGTGTCAGCCAACTTGCGTGCGGCAATCATCGAATATGTCGAGACTCTTTCTAACAAGGCTCCGGCGAAGGTGAGCGGCTTTAAACAATAGCAATATGTAGAGGGAAACGTTTATTTTTCGTACGCGGGATTGGACCATGCATTTTAATTATCTGGAAACCGCGGGATCAACAAAAATTTTTGATTCGGGAATAGAATTCAACCGGGACAAGGGAAAGCAGAAATTGGCGGGAACTGGTAACTGGGATATTTTTCTACCTTGAAAACACGGTACGGACCCGCGTTCCCTCTCTATTTTCAGTTGAAATTCAGTATATCGCAAAAAGGATTCTATTTAGTCAACAATATAGCGGATGTTTGCTTAGTGTGGGGTGTGTAAAAATATGATATTTCGCTAATATATTACTCGTACTATAATATCGGGTAGGTGTGTTTGTTCGCGACAGTTTGTTTGTCCGTGAACTCATTTCACGTTTTTGCATCCGGAATCTCTGGGAAGGCGGATTTCGATTTTATTTGTACATATCAAATGTGTTTGTACATGTGTACGTGTGTGTGTGTGTGTGTGTGTGTGTGTGTGTGTGTGTGTGTGTGTGTGCGCGTGCGTGCGTGCGCGCGTGCCTGTGTGTATAAAGAATTTGTCACAGATCATTCGCGCATCTCCATCTACTAAATCTTTTATACGTATATAACGACAGCGTTTGGTAACATTCGTTCGTCGGTGTTGTGCGGTTCTTGGAGATGAAATAGCGTTTGAGGTTTGACTTACGTCACGTTACGTGTGTGAATAATATATATATATAAATGCCATGCACGAGCATATCAAAACGCGTATTCCACTACTGAACATACATATATATTTGTCGCTGTAACGGTATTGCGCGTCGTATAGAAGAAAATTAATATCCGAGAATTAGCACCGAGAAAAACCAAAAACGTTATGCATGCATTTTACTGATAAGCAGTATAGTGGCATATATGTAGCATATAGCATAGTAAAATATATGAGCAGTACAGTCGTCATCGAGAAGAGTCGGCAGGCGCGATGGGTATTACAAATAAATTCAGGGTTGACGGCTAGGAGAATAAAGTGTCTCCCTGGAACATAGAAGCAAGCTGCGCGGTCCACGCTTTATTTCAGCAACACTACGATCACAAGCTGCGCATAAGATACGCACACATTAGGATCTCTGGGATTGGGATGGGTCTACACAGAGAGTTGCTTATTCCAACTGCTGCAACTAGAGGCCACTACCAGAAACAGAACCGCAGGCACGGTGAAGATGCGACACAACAGAAACCCGCCAGTTCTGCTAGCTAGGCATCATAGTCTAGCTCAGGGGTTCTTAACCTGTGGTCCATGGATGGGATTCAGGCGGTCCGTGAACCAGGCGCATAAAAATTGTGTTCATGTGCAATCATAGTCTAGCTAGAGCTCCTCTCGACGAACATTTTCAGATTTCAGACATTATTTAACCCAAACGTCACTTATGCGCGTGCTCTATGGTTTGAAAGCATACAAAATCGAGTAGATGTTTATTTTGCGATATTCATGTCAGACGGGTAAATAGTATAGGCACATATATTACTGTACATGTTACTGTACATACTAACATCGGCTTCTACCTCTCTAACAGAGCATATTCAGGTGGGCATCCTTTACGCAAAACTCGTCGTGTGCATGCCTATGTCTACGCGCGCACACACACACACACGCGCGCACACGCACGCACACACACATACACACACACACGCACACAAATACACCCACACACGCAAACATGAACGCACGAACGCACGCACGCACACACGAATACACACTTGCACGCTCGCTAGCACGCCTGCACACACGCATTACATACATAGATGAAAAATGAAATAGAAATGTAAAAATTCGGGATCTTATATTTCAAATGCCAATCTTTACGACAGTATGCATCTTCGTTAAAATACAGCAGGCCGGCAATGAGACATACTTTTTCGAAAACTTACATTTAAAATTCAAGGCACTCTATTTCTATATTGGCATTTTACTTTTCATATAGTTCTTCATTAGTGTACATGCATACGTTCACACAGGTGCGTACACACACGCGCGAGCATGCACACACACGCACGCATGTACGCATGCACACACACGCACGCATGTACGCATGCACACACATGCACGCATGTACGCATGCACACACACGCACGCATGTACGCATGCACACACACGCACGCATGTACGCACGCACACACGCACGCACGTAGTACGCACGCACACACACAAGACACACACGCGCACACGCACATACACATATTACAATATTGCTTTACAAAAACTAGATACAGACATCTGAAATTTCATATATCTTTATAGCTTTATTGCAATAAACAACCTCACCATACCAACACTTGTTGCCGAGTTCAACTAATTACTTAAAGGAATAATATGGCCATTGATTATGTAATGTTGACGAATGCTAGAGTAACTGGCACCTTGTGTAGTTAAT